GACTCCTCCGATTATCGAGTCAGATCCGTCTACTGCGATACTAACGGGTGCTTCGGAGTCCTAGTGTGCCAGCAGAATTGCTTTGACGATACGTTTCCTAACTGTGGAGAATGATTTTTTTAGATGTTCAAATTGACGATTTTCTTATGTCCACAAAGTTGGCCCGTTTAAGGTATCATAAGGGATCTGCAATCCGGAATAAACCGTCAGTAGAAACTTACTAGGCTGTTGAACGTTTGTAGTTGCTTGATTGTGGTAGGTTCTGGGTAATTAAGAATGGCCGCCACTTTGCTTTCTAGAGATCGTATGCATTCAGCATCGAGAGTATATTCGAGAAAATCCAGAAAGTCGGAAACGATTTGATATTTCTGAGTGTTTACAGTTATGCTGTGTCTTTGAAGTCATTCAAAAACAAGGTCCAGATGCTGGGTTCCTCTTACGCAAATTAGCGTGCTAACAACAAGAAAGAATAGGTAATACACAAGAATTCAGTACCTGAGAATAAAAAAGGATGCTCTCAAAAAGATAGATTTGATTGATTGAACAACTATTGGTTGAATAGCCGGGTGGTAATATTTGTTTAGGTAACGATGCACATGTATATTTATGATGAATTATAAAACCGTCAGTTACCCGATTACTTGTTGTGATTTCGACGGGCAAAGGCGGCTATTCTTCAGTTCAAACCGTAGTTTGGATTCTACACACATGGTAATTTTGGTCACGTTTGCTATATCTCGAGGTACTTGTCGATTACTTTTTATAGTATGGATCGATCGTGTGCCTTACGGTGACTGGGGACAATCTACAACCGGAAAAAGGAGCTACACAAACAGATAAATTAGTATTTTCGTCTACTAAGCTTCGTTTGAGTGTGACGATGAGTAGATTATGATGTTATAGTACGTTTATATCAATGGTTGGCATAGGAACATCTGCAGCAACGAAGATTCAGCAGATGGGTATGCGTAAATCTGTGTCAAAGTGTACATATCGCCTACCGCAAGCGTTTCTCATTTTAGTCGGTTTGGGGCTCGGGAGAAATCCAGTGTTTTCTACAATTTCGAGATTTTCCACACTTATTATGATATCAACATCAATCAGCGTTATCTGTCTCTCGTGATTAAGAGACATCTCTTTCGTGAAGTACTCCTTCAACGAGTTTGGTATCATCTACGGTCATGACGAGTACTATAGTAATGTATCAAGGTATGATAGAGTTCCGTAACGTCACTTCGTGTCGTTTGAGGTTTTTCTTTGACTGAAAATACCTCAGCGTTATTTTTGGTGATTTTCAGAATTCGGTTGACAGATGCAGTCACCTCATCTACAGCGTTGCTTTGAAATGGGACAAGCAATGACTGAAACTTTTGGAGAAGCTAAGGCAAGGAAAGTTGTTTAGACAGGCTCTCTTCAAAAATCCGTTGACCAATGACCTCCCTCATTCGTAGTAACATGTCTGTTGCTGAGCCATATTGTAAAAGAGTTGAAATAACATTTATAGGTCGGTAAAATCCTAGCGCTTGAAAATAACCCTTTTTGAGTATTGGTAGGTTCCAAGACATCATAAGTGAACACACTAGGTGTGATGTCCCTGTGGGCCTGTCAAACTGTGCTCGTGGAACTCAGCTTCTGCCTAGCAGAACAAGGCTTCGATATTGTCTGGTCAAAAATGGCACTAGCTGAAATATATGGCTGGCGAAGGAGCCTGTTTAGTCACAATGAATATAAACGAGAATAAACCGGGAGTATTAAAAAACTAGAAAAATATCATAATGGGTTTTATGGGGATTTTAGAAATTTTACTGATTGAAACCATGAGTCAATTGAAGCTAGACCACCATGGAAAACCTGGAAGCACTGGACGGCCGTTTCGTCAGGCGGAGTTCAACCAGGTCTGTTGTGGGATAGTAACTCACTGAAGACAACGGTGTACGGTGGCGCAACTTCGTGGATTGTTTGAAGTTAGACATTAACACCGTTGAGTGCCGGCTCAGTGGTCTAGTGGTTAAGCGCTCGAGCGCGAGACTGATAGATCCTGGTTTCGAATCTCGCGGGGTGAGGGATCGTGGACGCGCGCTGATGGGGAGTCCCATTCTAGGACGAAGCGGCCGTCCAGCGCTTCCAGGTTTTCCATGGTGGTCTAGCTTCAATTGATTCATGATTTCAACCAATAAAAAATATCACAATATGTAAAATAACAAGGTGAAAAACGATATGTAAAATTCCAAAAAGGAACAAACTCACATTTTTTGTACCAGATTACGCCTGGCTTACCACTAATGATGACACGAATATTCGGAGTTTGGCAATACGTTAATCAGTATCGCCTTTATAATCAAAGTATGCCAACCCAGTCAAATCAAAGGCGAAAAGGTCCGAAGATATATTTGATAGAATAATGTGCGTGACCGAACACCTTGAACTAAGCGAGTACATTAAAACTGATGCTGGCTGCACCAAGTGTAGAGGACTTACAGAGCTACTGATCGTGAGGATTTATTTACTGCTACAAATGCTTGCCCTATGTCAAGTCGATATAAGTCATGGGAACAAAAGCAGTTACTTTCAGTTCTAAAATAATTTTCATTCAAATAATGACTGCCAACTCAGTTCGTTCGTTTAGGGAAAATATTGCCTATCCTTCAATCGACTGAGAAAAACTAGTACCAAATGATCTGAGGTGTCTCAATGTTCAATCCCTTCGAAAATAAATGAGTAGAGCCTTCATGTATCTTACATCTTGATCTCCAGAACATCTCTTTTGAAACCACTACACGTTCATACAAAAACTGTTGTGAAATAAGATCATGACAAAATTTTGCATCTCACCAAGTTGTAAAAGCTGTTTGTCTTGTTAGCTTAAACAATTTAGCTCAGTATCTTTTCCTGAAGACTGAAAAGGGGTAACAATGAAATTTAGTGCATTTGAGTCAGTGAAATAACGCGAACGTTATAAGGTATTAAGTGAGCTTTTGCAGATTATGTGTTTATGTGCTTTGGGACGGCGGTGTCTCAACGGGCTTTTTCGAGGGCGGTATTTTGAGTTCGTGTTGACTCAGTTGGTTTTGGCTTTTTTCCAATTTCACCATTGACCTGGACTGCGTGCCATTGAAATCGCTTTACTGTTGAGGTAAAAGTTTGCGTCTGCTTTCATATACAAACGTATCTGTTGTTAGATATTTAATATTCGTTTAGGTAAAATTTGTAAGCAATTTGTGATTCCGAATGTCTTTGAATCATCTTTTAAAGTTTGAAAATACTTTTTAAGGCTACTGTATTTGTTTTTCGCTGGTCCAAATCTAGCCGAAGTTTGAAATAATTACGACCATGGCATCATGTTTCTTATGGAATATTATATAACTAGTGCTATATATATAAAGTGTCAGGTTTGTGTAGTAAGAACAGAATGCCTGCGGCCCATGTTATCTCTTTTCTAGTATGCTTTTGTGAGCGTCTGGTTTTCTCTCGAATGTGTCAATTGAAGGTGAGGACACCACTGCTTCGGGTAACAGGTCCCTCTGTACTTTTTCTAGGATATTCGAGTCACCTTTTAAATAGGGGCTTGCAGCCTGATCGCGGTTTTCAAGTTTTATTCTCACTAAGGTTGTGTATACTGTAGGGAAAATGATATTATCTAACTTGGTGAATGTCCGTCTTGAGGCCCATAGGGTTTTAAACCCCTTAGCGACAACCTCCCGGCAGTGGATCGTGGTCTCACGATCATGACTCAATATCACCTCAAGATCCTTGTGAGACCGAATTATGGGTACAGGCACTTCCCCTATGCTGTACCTATTCACCTTCATGTCCCCAAAGTGCACAGAGATACAACTGGTGGTATATTTATGTGTATATTGATACTCTAAATGTTAGGGGTAAACGGTCATCGTATTGTGGTATCAGTGGCGAAAATTCCTTAAGGCCTCAATGTTTATGTGGCCTCCACGTAGACATTTTATATTTCCACATTACCATGAAGACCCAGTTCTTCAATATCCTTCGTTAACTGTATTCCATCCATAAACCACATACATATACATGTCGTTTAACATATGAGTATCAGTGCGTCGACCTCCATTTTGCGTGCTTAGATGTTGACTGTTTCAGACTTGCTAGTTGTCTTCTTCCTCATATATGTATTTGTAGCTAAATGAGTTATAGATACTTTAGACATTTGGCTTCTGCTGATGTTCACCAATTTACTTAAGCGAACTTTCAGTTGTCGAGTCACAAGGCCAAGTCGTGATCCACTTTCCTAAGTATTAAGAAGTTGATAGTGCTTGTAATCCTTGTACGAGTATAATGCAAAGTATACTACATAGACGATCATTTAACTGTCGAAATGCATTTACCAAGTGTCCTACTGTGTGGAACATCATTTTCATACAAGAAGCTGTGATTAGTATTTTCTAACGAAGAAGCTGTTTAAGGTGTTTATTTGTTTCTGAACCATTAGGTCAGGAAAAACAAGTTAAACTTAAAATATAATCACTTCTCCAAATCTGCTAAATGACGTTCTTCGTTAGCAGTAACGTTTCGTAGAATTACGATAGGAATACACGTTAGCACTGTACTACTTTATTCTCGTTTCAACCTGTTGACCTTCCAATTTTTGTTTGATGTCCGACCATTAACAGGTGCTTAGTGTTTGAGTTATATAGTTTAAATTTAAACCCCTGACATTTTTTCGCCGTTCCGATGAAATGCTGCCTCTGACTTAACTTAACGTGTAAGAGTCTTATCGCCAGATATCCCCCTATCTTTTTGTTTTGATTTTTTATGCCAAAGTCGTTCAGATAACGCAATGAAGAACGAAGTTTATTGAGGCCATGAAATTCGATATCCTATTACATTTTGAACAATCTAATCACCCCGTGTTCTTATTGCATCACCTAAATTTATCAAAGAGACTAAATGTTCTAAGTATTAAGTTATTGTTTTGTAGGTCGTGAAGACGTGCTATAAATTGTATTTGAACCTTAATCTCAGATCTTCAAATGGATCAAACTATGGATCATTCACTCATAGAGAGTGAGCGGGAGTATGTGGAGTTTCTGGACGAAACGGTATGTTTCGGTTTTTTGATAACTATTTGCAATTTTAGGATGAGTATAAGGATCGCATCAATTCATTAATCACTCGTGATGGCATTCGTTTGATGGTCAACATTAATGATTTGCGCCGTCAGAATTCTGGAAGAGCTAAAAAGTTTGTCAAGTGACTTAAAGTTCTATTGTTTAGGCTTTTAGAAAATACCTGCTCAGAGATAGTTGCTTGTCAAAGAGCAGTTAAGAAGTGCATTCAAAACACAAACCCAGATTTTGCGAAGACAAAGCATGAGTTTTTTGTTGGTTTTGAAGGAAGGTTTGTTTTAAGTAAAACAAATCTATTGTATTTAGTTTTGGATCTCGACATGTGACACCTCGTACTCTTAATTCGAAACTATTAGGAAATATGGTTTGTTTAGAAGGCATAGTAACAAAAGGTAATATTGGGTATTCTTATCACTTATTTCGAAGCATCACTTATCCATCCAAAAGTTGTATGCAGTGTACATTACTGTCCAGCTACGAAGAAAACTATTGAACGTCGGTATGCTGATTTGACAAGCTTGGAGCCATATCCATTTGTTGGAGCATATCCAACGAAAGATGATGAGGGGAATTTGTTGGAAACGGAATATGGACTATCGGTTTACAGTGATCATCAAACAATTACAATTCAAGTATATTTTCAGTTCTTATTTTACGTAGATGTTTACAGGAAATGCCAGAAACTGCTCCTGCTGGTCAATTGCCTCGTTCCATTGATGCATTGCTCGATAACGACTTGGTGGATGCTGTTCAAGTAACTATTTTACTTAGAGAAGTTGTTATAGTTTGCTTTTAGCCTGGTGATAGAGTGCAAATTGTTGGTCATTATCGTTGCTTGCCAGGAAAGAAAAACGGATTTACCACTGCGAATTTTCGTACTGTAATTATTGCGAATAATGTACAGTCACTCAGCAAAGAAACTGGTCCAAGTTTTTCAGAGAAAGATATTAGTATGATGCGATTAATTTCAAAACGTAATGTAAGTTTCTTAAATTCGTGTTATACTAATTTTTAATTTAAAAGAATAAATTATCTATCTTAAGAAATTATTATAGGCTTTGCTCAGACTTTAGCAATTTACTGTGTTAAGCGAACTTAATTGCAAGCGTTTAGCTAAGCATTACATCCTATCACATGTTAGTTATTATATGAAATTTAAAATGGTTGCTACCATATGGCTTGATCAACCTTTGAAATATGCGTTTTAAACAATACATCTTGACCCTGGTCAGAAGTTCGGTAGTAAGTTTTAGAAAGTAGCCGACCTCGTCTCTGAACAGTATAGGTCGTCTAGGTTGTCATATCATAGAAAATTTACAACCCCTTAAGTGACTTAGATCAGTGGTCGGAGCCCATAAACTAATGTCATATTTTAATCCAATTACACTATCCATCTTACAAGATGTAGGTGGTGGTTTGGCGTGCACTACACGATTCAGTAATCTATTGATAGACTGATGATAACCGTAAGCACTTTTCAAAGTAGGTCATGAAGAACTTAACAATTGCGTTCCACTCCTACAAAAATTGGTTAATAAAGCGGATTTCAAAGTAGTTATTAGTTTGTCCAAACCACTTCACAGCAGCATGTTTTACCTTGTTTGATTGTCAAAAATCATTTTCGTTTTCGTGGGTTCCTTCGATAGTCTTTCTTGTATTTATCAAGAACAACATATTCATTGTAAAATCATTCTTATATAATTCTACTTCACAGGATGTTATTAGTCTTTTAACTCGTTCCATTGCACCATCAATTTGTGGCCATGAGCATATCAAGGAAGCGATTCTTTGTTACTATTGGGAGGTGTCGAACGTCAACTTACTAATGGTTCTCGTATCCGTGGTGACATAAACCTTTTGTTAATGGGCGATCCTTCAGTTGCAAAGTCACAATTCCTACGTTTTGTCCTTCATATTGCACATCGTGCTATTGCTACAACTGGTCGCGGCTCATCAGGAGTTGGTCTGACTGCTGCTGTTACAACCGATATGGAGACTGGTAAGTTTAGTTTATACCCATCCTTTATAGCCTGTACAATTTATGGTTTGACACATGACTATCAATTTATTTCTGAAAACAACTCATTTACGAGGTACAGATTTTTTACTTGGCTTCGAGGCACATTCTGTGTATGGGCTAGTGATACTACTCGGTTACCTAAACCGAAGTAGTTTTATTCGAGCCTATGACTTACTAGCTGAAATTCAAACCCCTTGACTATTGAATGACTTCTTCATCAGAGCAATCTTTCAGTAGTGCACGTTATGTATCTAAACATGTGTCATATGGTAAACATGTTTTCTCTAACCTAGGTTGGTTTTTATTCTAAAGTTCTTGTCAATTCATCTCGACTCACTCGGAGCCCTTCTAGGGTTGATCCCAATCCCAAGCTGCGATAAAGGAAGAGGGTTGGGCACAGGGTTAGCAACCCCATCCAGTAAAAAGGACCTTGCTAAAAAGGTAACCCGTTCAAGAAGAGCAGGACCGTTGATTGTTAGACCAAAAGTCTTGCGTTTCACTTCCCAAAAAACAGAATTATCCCCTATGCATAAAACTAAAAAAACACTTAGTTTTCCTTGGCTCATCACAAGTCTTTTTTCCAATTTATCCAGGCTACTTAAACCAGCAGCCTGAAATAATTTTCATTCGTTGATAGTGCGATGTGTCTTTTTACTCACTAAAATCATTTTTTACTAATCCATACGCTGCAAGACAAAGACTACATTTCTTGTGTCGTACCGGATAATTGTGATGTCTTCATGGAGTTAACTGACATAATCTATTATGGGATAAAGCTAGACCTAACAGTGAGGTCTTAATTTATTAGGGAGTGGATAACCTGTGAAATGTGTATTCTCCAATCATCTACGACATCTAGTCTTGTTTGTTTTCTTGTTTATATGTGTAAGCATTTTATTCCTTATTAGTTGAAAGACCTATTACTCTGGTTAAATGGACTTGTCTTGATTTCACTTTATTTGGAGGCTTTTGTCAGCAATCCGGTTTCATGTTCAGCCATCACTCAGCTACATCATATCATTGCATTTCATTTATGACTCTATTCATTTTAGTATTTCGAAACTTGTTCACCATAATCACAATTTTTCAAAATTTTCGTTTATAGCATTAACACGATCATATACATTTCACGATGGTAAATCAGTTGATGAGATTGTGAATCTTCATCGACTGAGATGGTTGGGCCACGTGTTATGTGTGCCTGGACACTGATTATCACGACCCGCAATGCTGACTAGTGTTAGAGACGGTTAGAAGAAAGTTAGGGGCGGCCAAACCAAAACGTGGCATCAGTCCTTGAAGTCACTAACTTCTGGTCTGAGTCATGTTGGTAGATGCAGACTACTTGGTTGGGGTCCGCGTGACTATCGTAACCGGTGGTTGGAGACTGTGTGTGACATGACTCAGAATCAATCACAATGATGTTGGCGTATACACTCTTTGTTTTCCCCTAAACCGTGAGATTAAAATTGCTCTATATTCTTTATACGAACTAATTCTTTCTCTTTGTACCATGTCCTAATATGCAATCTTTTTAAAAAATATATTATTACCATTGAAGTAACTGTTTCTGTGAATTTGGTGTTCATCTTATTGTGCTAATGAGGTGTGACAACTTCAGTCAGTTAGTTATAACGTATGACCAGGCACATATATGCATCGGTCCAGGTTCCCATATCATTAGCACAAGATTAACACCGGATTCTCAGTAGTTAATTCAATGGTGGTAATATATAAAAGAAAGATTGCATTGTGTTGTTACGTATGCCCAACGACGTGCGATGTTCAGTGGTATAGGAGTAGGTTGGAAGAAAGCTAGGGGCGGCCAGACCAAAGCATGGCACAAGTCCATGAAGTCACTGACAAGTAGACTGAGTCGTGTTGGTAGGTGTAGACTACATGGTTGGGGACCGCGAGATGATAGCAACCGATGGTTAGAGACTCTGAATGACATGGCTCAAAATCGTTTGCAATGGCGCAGGTGCATACACTTTGTGTTCTCCCAAATTTTGATCTCCTTATTCCTCCTTGTCTCTCTTTTTTTCTCTTCCCAAGTTTATTTCACTGTATTATACTCTTTAAATAACATCTCCAAACCCTAATCTTTCCGATTACTGCTTATACTCTTATTACCTCTTCCACTAAGGGATTTGAATCGACAACTACATCGCTGTGCTAATGTGGTGTGGCAACACCCTGACTGACTGCATTGTGTGGCAGCTTTTACCAGTACATATATGTACCTGGTCCTACGTTGTAGATGACTGACTGATACATTGCAGACTTGGTGCCAACCACCGTAGTGTATTTTTAAAACAATTCAACTCAGCAATCAAACCTGATATGCAATACGTTTTTAGTCTCTGTCAATTTACTTACCAGGTCAGTAGAGTCCATAAAGCAGATAAAACATTTATAATCAAGCAACACATGCAATGAAAGTAAGCCTAATACAATAGAAAAATAAATTATACCAGTATATTGGTAAAAAGAGCAGAATAAGGGTTAAGGTTTCATGTGATAGTAGTTTTGTTGTAGCTTTGATTTGGATGGTAATTTTGAATGATAAACGATTGGGTTTTCTTCCTGTGAGAATTCGATAGTACGACGATTAATACACAACAAAACTTCTAGGCTAATAATCCATACGCTAATAGGAGATAGGAAAGATGGGACTTCCACGACAGCCTTATATATTGAACAGAAGTCAAATTTGAAGCAGAACTACGTATACATAGTAACAAAATATGACCTTGTGACAGAGGAATTAATAAACTAAAATGATAACCAATCAGAAAGCAGAAAAGTTATGCGAAAATATAAACTAGAAAAAAACTCAATTGAGCTTATCGTTATTGGGCAGAAACTTACATGTATTAACAAACACCAGATAACTTGAGGTCTTCATGGCATATTTTAAAACAGATTTTGAAACAAACTGTTCGACCTGAAAATCAATGTGTTCACCCAATAATCTCCGACTTTCAAAAGCTATGGTCTATTTTATTTCAATTACTTGAATACACCTCATTCCCTTACACCACACCTCTCACCAGTCTCCATACTACCTATTTAATTGTTAGAGCTCCTTATGTATCGTACTGAGAGCAGTAATCTGTTCTTAAATTAATGGTTTTCTCTATAGTACTTTACTCGTTACTTTATAAATACAAGTGGATTCAATCATCTGTTTATTTACCAACAGGTGAACGTTCACTAGAGGCTGGTGCTATGGTATTAGCTGATCGAGGTATAGTTTGCATAGATGAATTTGACAAAATGTCCGATATTGATCGAACTGCTATTCACGAAGTAATGGAACAAGGCCGTGTGACTATCTCCAAAGCTGGTATCCAGGCGAAATTGAATGCTAGATGTTCAGTTTTAGCTGCAGCAAATCCTGTTTACGGTAAATATGATCAATATAAAACACCTATGGAAAATATTGGTCTCCAAGTAAGTTTTACGTCAAAACATTTTTGTACAGTTGTGTTTATCATGTAAGTTGTTTGACATTTGAAGACAACAGGTAGCCTTATACATTTGTTTTGTGCTGATTGTTAGTTGTGTTATATCTTGCTGATTGGATGCTGTATTCGTTCCTAAGCTATTCTGATAACCCGCACGCTAGAACTATACAGCAACCTGAACACCAGAAAGAAGACGCAAGGTATGAGAGAAATACTTTACTCAAAGGTTCGTTTTTGTACAGAAAACATGGGTATTTATAGAGGTTAACGTTTGTTAAATCAACATCATATTTCGGCCAAACCGTTAGCGACATATTATGCTACTGACCAATAGTAGCACGCCACGTTGGAATTCTCGAATGCTCCATCATGCTCTGATTGGCCAGGACTCTTCTGCTCCTTTTGGGCCTTTGGAGGCTCCGTTAAAGTTCTCCGAAAGCCGACCCAACAGGTTGTCAACAATTCATATCCATGACTGAGTTACGCATAAAATTCCCAGACTAAAATATAGGACTTGCTTGAAGATATGGTATTATCATAGGAAAAACAATAAAAAATCATTATCAGTTTACAAACCTGTGATTGTAAAGTTGTTCTCAAAGGTCAGATACACACGGTTAACAGCAATCATCAAAGGGAGTGAGTTCTTTGAATTAGTGGATAAACTTTAGATTACAATATATTTTACTATAAATCAGACAACGGACACTAGTATATTAGCACGAATATCAAGCATAAACAAATTAAGGTCCACTTTTTCGTAATTTCAGTAGGTCAATAGAAATAGACACTAATTCAAACAGTAGTGTACCTTAAAATAACTTCATGATGAAAATAAAAAGAAATATTGCTGAACTTAAAAATTTACTGACTGGGACATCAAACTAGGAATACAAATGAATGGACTGAATAGTTCGTTGAGACTGAGTAACATGGTGCATTACAGCATACGAGAATAAAAATGGTTGAAAAATTATCCAAACTACTACATATTAGTAAATAGCATAACATACAGATAAAATGAAACTAGAAAATGTAAAGCAGCTTTAACTGCATTAATGAGGTATTTGTTTTTTTCTTCATATTTCAGGACTCTCTTTTATCTCGTTTTGATTTACTGTTTATTGTACTGGATAAAGCTGATCCGGACTCTGATCGTGCAATTGCTGAACATGTTCTCAAAATTCATAGATATAGGGGACCAGGGGAACAAGAAGGTGAAGCGTTACAATTACACTGTGCTACACATTTACTTACTACAGGAGCTGATCCACTGACTATAGTGTCTCAAGATGATCATGATGATGATTTAGATGGTAATAGCTCTCGTAGACAAGAAGAAGATCAAGTCTATGAACAACAAAATGAATTTCTTTTGCCATCTCGTGGTAGAAAACAGTAAGTATGTAATACTTAAGTTCTGTCATCAAGTTTATCCTTTTTAATAACAAGTTAGGGGCAGAAATGCGTAGTCATCTTGTTTAGTAACAAGAATACTTGGTTGGTAAGTAAAACGTTTTTATTTGCTTTGATTAAATTCAACTTCAGACGTATGGTTCTTTGCATTAATTAACTTAGAAAACAAGAATAATTTTTTCAGGAAAATAAAATATGAATATTTTCCAGAAAAAAAAACCTTCAGTCAAACAAAATGAAGTCTTTTAGTTGTTCTGATCTTAAAACATCTTTGGTATACAAGTAACTAAGTTGAACTCAACTACTCAAATGTTACAGTTTACTCACCTGTTTAAGATTCACCTGGACTGAATAATTATGAGTCAGTTAGTCAGCCATGTGTACCGTTCAATCTGTATATCAGTTCAAGTTGGCATCACTACATTGGTTAAACAATCTAAAATAATCAAGATAATTGTCAGTAGTAGAAATAGAAACAGTATCAGTAATAGTAGAAAAAATTAGGTATAAAAAAACAACAGGTATTAGATTTAGTGACTCATATTCGAAGGACCGACAAAGAGTGAATGGATCTGTGTCATTACGTGCTTGATCTTTTTTGTTTTCATTTATACTACGACTATATCTACTATTCTGGGATTCGGCCGGATAATTCCATCTCTCTGAGGGGGGAGTATTACAACCTGAACTGATGTACATATGTACCAGGTTCTACGTTGTAGCTTATTGTTACAGGATTTGCATAAATAAAGCTTCTGTTACTAATATTCTTAATTAGCATTAACTTACATCGAACAATGGTTAGAGACTTTGACTGACATGACTTAAAATCGTTCGCAATGAAGTCGGACCATTCTTTTTACCCCTCAAAATGAGTCACAAAATCTCCTGATGCCTCTTGATTTCCCGTTTTTTCCATATCTTATTTTTTTACTTATTATGAGATCTTGATAATTTTATATCGCCTTGTTAATGTAGTAATGAAAACTGGAACTGTTGCACATATATGTCAAGTTCTACGTTGTACAAAACTGAACATAATGAAGAGCGGAGTCAGCTTAAGCGCAAGCTGACAAGAAGTCTACGCAATGATCGTGAACAGTGGTGGGTAGCGAAAGCAAGAGAGATGGAAAAGGCAGCGGCAATAGGTAATAGCAGACAATTGTTCAGACTTGTTAAGGAAACCGGAATTAGGAAACCGACCGTTAGCGAAACAATCTCAGAGAAAGATGGACATATTATTCATTCTCAATCCAGGAGATTGGATCGATGGGCAGAACACTTTAGGGATCAGTTCAACTGGCCTTCAGCCACACTTCGGTTTCCCACGATCTCCAGTCAACCTGAATGGCAAGTTAATGTAGGTCCTCCGTCTCTTTACGAAGTTGAAAAAGCCATAGGAAATCTGAAGCGAGGGAGAGCAGCAGGCCCTGACAGGTTTACTCCTGAGATTTTTAAGGATGGTGGTCCAGTATTAGCAGTGAGATTAACTGAGGTCTTAGGTAGAATTTGGGAACTGGACGTAATCCCATCTGACTGGTCTCAATCACTGATTGTGCCAGTCTATAAGAAAGGACAAAAGTCCTCTTGTGACAATCACAGAGGAATCAGTTTGACTAATATAGTGTCTAAAATATTAGCTTCAATAATACTTCGACGCCTAACCAAAGCTCGTGAAGAGCAGACTAGAGAAAACCAGGCTGGTTTTCGACCTGGACGTGGTTGTATAGATCAGATATTCACACTACGTCAGGTTCTAGAACACAGACACACGTTCAGACGCCCCACAATGGTAGTATTTCTCGACCTTAAGGCGGCATTCGACTCTGTTGATCGTAAGGTTTTATGGCAGTGTTTGTCACTGAAAGGAGTACCAAAGAAGTACATTAACCTTATAAAGGCTCTCTACTCGAACACAACTGGTAGAGTGAGAGCTTATGGCGAACTGTCATCAGAATTGATTACCTCAAGTGGTGTTCGTCAGGGCTGTCCACTCTCTCCATTCTTGTTTAACTTTGTCGTCGACGTACTTTTAGAGATAACACTTTCCTCATCTAAATTTCCAGGGGTTGAACTTCTACCAGGAGGTTCACTTGTTGACTTAGAATATGCTGATGACATAGTTTTATTTGGTGAAGACGCTGACAAAATGCAGAGTCTTCTGACCACTCTAAGCAACAATGCAAGCATGTTCGGGATGCGATTCTCCCCCTCGAAATGCAAAATGTTGCTTCAGGATTGGGTTGTATTGACACCCGAACTAATGATAGGGAGTGAAGTAGTTGAGCATGTCGACCGCTTCACTTATCTTGGAAGTCTCATCAGCCCTTGTGGTCTGGTGTGTGACGAAATCTCAGCACGGATACAGAAGGCTCGACTAGCTTTTACCAACTTGCGTCATTTATGGCGTAGGCGAGATATCCGTCTATCAACCAAAGGACGTGTTTACTGCGCAGCAGTTCGTTCCGTCCTACTTTATGGCAGTGAAACATGGCCGGTAAGAGTAGAGGATATTCGTAGGTTACTAGTATTTGATCATAGGTGTCTTCGAAACATTGCTCGTATATCCTGGGACCATCGAGTAAGTAATGCAGTTGTTAGGAAACGGGTACTAGGTAAGGATGGCAAATCAATTGATGAATTGGTGAAACTTCATCAGTTGAGATGGCTGGAACACGTGTTACGTATGCCCAACGACCGACTGCCTCGACGTGCTATGTTCAGTGGTATAGGAGTAGGTTGGAAGAAAGCTAGGGGCGGCCAGACCAAAACATGGCACAAGTCCATGAAGTCACTGACAAGTAGACTGAGTCATGTTGGTAGGTGTAGACTACCTGGTTGGGGACCGCGAGATGATAGCAACCGATGGTTAGAGACCCTGAATGACATGGCTCAAAATCGTTTGCAATGGCGCAGGTGCATACACTCTTTGTGTTCTCCCAAATTTTGATCTCCTTATTCCTCCTTGTCTCTCTTTTTTTCTCTTCCCAAATTTATTTCACTGTATTATACTCTTTAAATAACATCTCCAAACCCTAATCTTTCCGATTACTGCTTATACTCTTATTACCTCTTCCACTAAGGGATTTGAATCGACAACTACATCGCTGTGCTAATGTGGTGTGGCAACTCGAACTGATGTACGTACGTACGAAGTTCTACGTTGTTACTGACTGATTGACTGTATTTAACAATATTTTATTACGTAATCAATCGATCCATTAACTCTACAATCTCCTACTCATGTTGCTCCACCAACTACTCTAAACGAAAAAACTTGTTAAGGAAATGTATTAGATTAGACTAAAGATTCACATATAACCTGATTCAGTTCAGTGATTAGTAATTAAATAATTTGTATTGAATACAAAATTATAGTGAAAGGATCATTACAGAGAAGATGTGTCAAGAATTTAATAACTGTTTACAACTGACGTACACTTAAAGTTAATAAATAAATACACGATAATTTATTGTAATTGACTAAACAAAAATCGCCTGAAATAGAAGTTAAAATTGATATTCTTTTGCGTACGTTGTATTTCATAAGTGCTGGTGGGAGTGTGGGTGATGAGATCAATGCACGTATAGTGAAAGCCAGAGCGGCTTATGCCAATCTGGACCACCTTTGGCGCCTTCGTGATGTTAGTCTGGCTGTAAAAGGTCGGATCTACAACGCGTCTGTGAGAGCAGTTTTGCTTTATGCTTGTGAAACCTGGCCTCTCCGAGTTGAAGATGTTAGACTCTCTCATGCACTCCCATGGTAGCCGGTGACCAACAGTTGGTTCATACGCCATTTGTTCCTTCAGGATCCTGGAGCCCATGTGCACCATTGGTTTGGAATGAGGGTTTTCTAACTCCCCTCAGTGGACTCAGTGTTCACCGATTCGGTTAAAGCACCGGACATTGGCTTTTCGTCCTCTCAATTTGGTAAACAACAGTAATGCCATGAGAAGGCAGTGAGTAGAACTTTCCTGGCAGAAGCTATATACGCGTGGCCGTGTGAGAGCATTTCACGAGGGAGAGCTGACTTTCTCCACTCGGCCGTACCAGGGCATTTGAGGGCACCGATCTGAAAGCTCTGATTTCGATCCTTGATGGAGCCATGATTTCTCACAGCGGAAGAATTCCACTATAGGTTAAAACAACTGTCCAGTGCTTCTTAGTTCTCAGTGGTACTCCGTCTGATATCAGTGACGAATACAACTACAAAGAACTAAGTAACTGAAGATCAAATCCGACTACATACACTTTTTTCCTAATCCCATCTTTAAGATATGGCTTTCTATTATAACGATTTAGTAGAAAGCGTTGATTTTCCTGTTATAACGTTGAGATCGACAAATCTGTTTCAATAATCCTGATATTCTATAATGAACCGGATACAGACCGGAGCAAAAGTTTGATTGCCACGATGGTGGTACAAAGGCAGTAGTATAAATTTTACAATATGTGTAGTTACTTACGTATGACATATTAATCATACCTGTCTGCACTCCTTAGTTAGTCACAGATCATTCTTGCCGGATGTATCATGTTTATCAAGTACATGTTTATGTACCCGGACTTAAATCGCACGTTAGTTATGTATCTGTGGAGGCTAGTGATAAGTGTCCGGTTTGGCTAAACCGAGAATGATAAGGCAAGAATCTCAACCTTCCATCTGTCATTTGAAAGCTAAATAGTTTAACTATTGAAGGATTTCTCCGTTGTTGTTTAGTCAGTTTTAAATGTTTATTGTTAAGACGAAGTTTTACATGCAATTGTGATCTAAATAACGTTAAATAAAAAATAAAAATGATAAGTGAGAAATCCTTTGATGAAGCGAGATCCACGTTGCACTAGATAGGCCCCCAAATGCCCTGGTACGGCCGAGAGTGGGGAGAGTCCGCTTTCTCTCTCTCGAAATGCTCTCACATGGCCACTCGTATATAGCCTGTGCCAGGGAAGTCCTACTCACTGCCTTCTCGTGGCGGGGTGTTTACAAAAATGAGAGGACGAAAGCGAATGTCCGGCGCTTTAACCGGATTCCAAACCAATGTTGCACATGGGCTCCAGTATCCTGCGGGAACAAATGGCGTATGAACCAATTGTTGGTCACCGGCTTCCATGGGACTGCATCTCCTGACGATGCTCCACTGCCTTGTGGATCAGACCTTCAGGTCGAAGGCTCGGGGAGTGGCCCCTAAGAAAACCACCTGCTTCGGTTTGGGTACCCGGGCAGTATCACATCCCTCACACATATCGAATGAGATTTGTGTGGCCCCTATGTATTTGGTGCCTCTTTGTACCAATATCTGTGTTGAAATAAAAAAAAGATAGGTCAGACAGACCAATACGCAATAACATTTCAATGTTGGCCAACACAAAAGAGATAAGAAAACGAGCGAGAAGACGGAAACTTTAAGAGAATTTCTACGTCTTAAGAACAGACAATTGTATGAGTAAATACCACAGTATATACTATAGCGTTGTGCAATACAAATTAGCTAATAATAAATGTGTGAACTATATGTTCATAGTGGTAATAACAACACTGGTTTACAGTCAGCCGTAATATATATTCACTTAGTTTTTAGACATATTAGTTATTTTCACAATCATTCTGTTATTATACGTGAAAAAATAATATGTGCTATTGCCTTTAAGGCTCTTTATTTTGGTGGGGTTTCGTTCCCTGAGCTAGATGGTTTAGTCGTTTTTTTTCAGTCGAATGTGTGTTCACAATTGTCCATATGCATTGGTATAAGCAAAGATGTATCATGGCGTTTGATCGCTAGTTGGTGTTAGTATAGGTGAATATGTAGGAAGCGTCCATTCTAACGTAGTTTTTCTATCAGTTGAAACAGTTTGCAGATGTTTTTCGGTTTTTCTTTTGTTATTTCATTATTTCTTTAACATAAGACTGATTTCGCTGTTTTATGTTCTACACCTATTCCAAACAGCTTTAGTAATCTCGTAATTTCCAATATGTCTTTTATATATCATAGGATAATCCATTTGTTAGGTTCTATATTTCATTTCATTTTTGCCGATGAGTTGGATTGATGTATTTTGAGTAAGCTGCATGAATAGCCTTTTTTTTTCTTGTGTACCGAAAGTAGAACAGTTTATTTCATTCATAAAATTGAATGTCTACGAAATGTATGTTCTATTATATGGCAGGTGACAAATTTGAAGGAAGAAAATAACTCAATATAATAAATTATCAGAAATTGTTAATGTGTCTGTGTTGTTCGAATTAATTAGGTAAAGGGTTTATAGAATCCATGTATATTTCAATAATAAAAATAAAACAACTAATTCTAAGTCAGTAATGCTAAAATATTGTAAACTATGTTTTCAACTAAATTGCTCCCTAACATGTGGTACTAGACATGTGCATATCAACTTTCTAAACAGCATGATTAATGAAATGAAATTAACTCATTCACCAGATACTCGATTATACACCACACTCTAAGTGTAAGGGTTGATGGTGCTACCTGGTTACACGACCCCAAGTGGATAGAGATGAGTTTTAACTTGTGACGCAAGGCCTGAAATTCGAACTCCTTAACCATTAAGCCACTGTCCTACTTCTAAACAGCAGTGTAGCACATTGCCTTAAATTATTATTATTATTGCATTCCAAGTATCAGAAAAGTTATGTTTATCGATTATTTATATGTAAAGCTATACCATGTAACTAATATCTTTATCTTTTACATTTCTTTTTTTCACAAACTAGAGATCAATTAACTATTAAATTTCTACAAAAGTACATTCACGTTGCTCGACAATTAAAACCACAATTAACCAAAGAGGCAGCATCAATTTTAGCTGAAAAATACTGTGATCTACGTGCACAAGAAGCATCTGAAACTATGAGTCGACCTAATCGCGGTGAACAAAATCGTATGCGTCGTACTCAACCAATTACAGCGCGTAGTTTAGAAACTTTAATACGTTTATCTACTGCACATGCTAAAGCACGTATGTCTAAAACAGTTACTAAGAAAGACGCTGAAGCTGCTGTTCAACTAATATCATTTGTCTTGTTCAAAGTAAGAACACCTTTGTCTTATGTGTTTGCAGCAGGATTTTTTAAAATTGCTATATAAGGTTTATGGAGATTAAGTTCACTTGGTACTGTTTACTTGGATCTCCTCATTGATGTCTAGGACTGCAATTGATCAGTCTCTTATTGGTAAATGTGTATACTGTGCGTATTGCCTCGATATCGCCTTAATTCACAAGCATTATAAGCAAAGACGGATAGTGGCTAGCAGTGGAATCCAGGACACGCGTTTCGTCCCATTTGGGACTCGCCATTCGGATGTACTTACATCTCAGAGTTGATGTGTACTCTGGAACTCGAACTCAGTACCGTTCGCTTCAAACACCATCGCGTTATCCACTTAGCTAGTGAGTCCCGATAGCCACTTTTTAGTCACTATCCATCTTGGCTTATAATGCTTGTGAATTAAGGCAATATTGAGGCAATACATACAGTATACACATATGCCAATAGGAGACTGATCAATTGCAGTCCTAGACATCAATGAGGAGATTCAAGTAAACAATACCAAGTGAATTTAAACTTCACCCCTTGCACAAACAAGTGACCATCAAGACTCAGTAGCTAAGTGGACAACGCGATGGTATTTGAACTGAACGTTACTGAGTTCGAGTCTTGGAGTGGACATAAACTCTAAGATCCAGGTACATCCGGCTGACGAGCTCCAAATAGGACGAAATTCGCGTCCTGGATTCCTCTGCTAGCCACTATCCATCTTTGTTTATAGAGATTTTTAATTGCATAGTTTACATCATAAACTAATCCTAACAAGATAACCACTAAAGATGAAGTGTTGAATAGGTTTTTCGCCTGCCACGAGAATTCAAGTGTTATAGTAGGACGTATATTGAGGAAGTTGAAACCTTCGGAGCTATTTTTCGGATTAATATATTTTTATTGTAAAATTAGCAAATGGTTGCATTTCTATATTACCTATTGACTGTTCTTATGCGTTTTACTATTACCTAATTATTGCTAATTAATATACTGGTATCTCCTCCCTCTACCACTTATAGTATGGTTGTGCTTAACGTCTGATTTCTTATTTGGTGTGCTGTGTGGTCTGACATTTTCAGTATATTATTGTATGAGTTTTGAGTCATGATCGAGTTGGGTACAATGTGAGCTAATCTCTTTCCCATCATCGTATTTCGATTGGCTACTGGGTTAGGAAGGAATGTGTTTTAGTCGTAAGATTGTCTTAATATTGTTACCCTTCTATGTTTTATTTAAATTCATATGGCGGTCCATAATAAATAAAGAAGTTATATAACTTTTTCAGTTTCCCGCTTGAAATGAGTATGTAAATCGGTAAAGCTATAACTGAATTAGTTTCAGATGAATGGGGAATTGAACCTTCCAAAGTCTAGTTGTTTTTATACGTAGGGATGGTAGTGTATCCAGATGTTCGTAACTTGAATGATAGCTGTAAATGTGAAATTTCACTGAAAAAGTAGAAATGACTTGTCGTTTGATCCATGGGAAATATTTTGTGGTTCACTATAGATGTAGTGTCGGTGGGAATTCCACACTTTGTTATAAAATACTAATTCAGATCATTGAAATATATTATTCTGTTGAGATTTTAAGTGTTCATGTTTGTTATATATATAGCAGATTGATATGTACCCACATTCTTATTTCCAGTATCTATTGTGCTGATGTTAGTCATGTTAAATTAGTTATAATAATATTACATGTCGTTTAATAAAACTTTTCACAATTTTATTATGGACAAGTGTAGTAAATACCATTTATTTAAACTTCAAAGACTAAGACGTTTGTTCGCGTGATAATTTTAAATAGTACCGGAAACCCTTGAGAATTCCTCGGAAAACTCTTCATCAGCTGTAAAAATGCTGAAAACGCATTGTCCAATTAGCATTCAACCGAAACTTCCCGAAAAATTTTGGAAATGCAATGAATTGTGTCGCATCGCGATTAAATAATTACCTATGTTGTTACTAACTCTAGTATATCTCCAAATACTTCCAGAATGTTAAGATCTCCTACAAACTTACAAATACCTTTTTCAAACACAAATTAATCTTGAAAGTCAAGTTTCTTCTCATACCTCCTACATTCTCTCTTCCATTCAGAGTTCTTGTGTAGAAGAATTCTCGGAAACTAGAACTTCATTAGGAAGTCACTCCCGAGCGATTAAGTGCCGGTTGTACCATATAATTTATCCTGAAGAAAATTTTTAAAGTTCTAGGGAATAAATAATCTTATTCTATGATAATTTCCTTACTAAAATTTTTTTCTATTAGGAAGTTCTAGAGAAAACTAGACGAAAACGTGATCGCAACTTAGATGATGATGATGATGATAAAGACTCAGATGAAGGCGAAAATGCAGACGGCACTGAACGCAATCACTCACAACAACCTGCTAAACGAAGGTATCTTCTTATTTTTACCTTCATATAGGTAACTAGATTCTCGGCTAAATAAGTTTTATTCATTCTTCCCTTCATTTTATGCTGCAAACATTTAAATTAAGTTCATATGACTGAGCTAAGGAATTATCCTAAAAAATAATTTTATTCATGACGAGTATATTGGATACAGACAAGAATTAGCCCTTTGGTAAAGAAAAACAGTACTCAAAGATCTAGGAAGAAAATAGGGAATGAATACAACTGTATCACTGAAATTGGTTTCTCATTGTGTTACAAAATTTCCCCAACGATTGGTTACGAGTTGTGTTGGGGTCACAACCAGAAATGTCTCACTTTCCAACATGATTTATGGATTGATGTCTGATCTCCCTATATCCAACTTTATGTCTTTATCGATCAACTCAGATGTCAACCAGTATTTATAGGTTAGGCGTTTATAACGCAAATTTTAGTTTCTTAAGCCTTACCAGCTGAGAGGAAATTTTCATCATCACTGTGTACATCACAAAATAAGGTTCACAATCGGAAAATTTGCTCAGTCAAAATGAAAGAACCTAGTCCTTGTTGTCAAGGTAGTTAGTTTTTTCTTTCTATTTTCACTTGAATAGTCCAAGTTAAGTTAAGTACACCATAATTGTGTAGATAGTGTTTGTGTTTTTAATTGCTAAAGTTCGATCCATTTATGGTTTTTTCGATAGTTACATTGTTAAACAATAATAGATGGTTATATAGTTTGAACTGCGAACATGTTACCAAGAAAGAAAATAGCTTAGTGCTATGCAACAATTTGGTTAAGTTGTTCTACAGTATAATCCACCTTAGATTAAAGATCCAGGAGTTATGCTTAATCGCTATCAGAAACTTGGACATTCAGCTCACTTATCTGGGGTGATCAAACTACATTATCACGAAAAATATCTTCAGTAAATTTTTTTTATTTCGTATCAAGCTTTATACTGTTCTTATCTCAGTATTATTCAGATTTTAACAATATATTATTATCATTGTCTCTCTAATTCAAGACCTGTTGCCACAGGAACTGATTCCGCTCCGGATCCAAATGATCCTTATGCATTTACCGAAGATCCAACTGTAACTAGAACTGAACCACTTGCGGAAACTGTCCCTATTTCTTCTGCTTTACACCAAGAACGAACATCTCAACTTTCAACAATGATTAGTCGCGTTTTTCAAGAACGTCGTGTTGAACAATTAACAGTGACTGAGGTTAGTCACATTATCTACGTGTTTCTGAATATGTAACACATTATAAAAAAAATTTATGGTGCTCTATTATGATTTTTTTAAAGATTAATGATTGTTTAAAATTTTGTTAAATAATTTGTTCAATACACATTTATTACCAATATCCCTTGTCAATAAGCCGTATCCGAAATTTTGCGTCTAAACTTATACTCCTGATGAGATTCGAAGCCGGATCATCCAGTGTTGTATGAGTTGAGAAACAATAATACACAAAGTGAGAATAAAAGAGATTGGATAAGTGAAGTAGTATATAAGAAAATTTGAAATTTTTTATCAAATGATTGTGAATGTGATTTGTCTGAATGCTACTTAAAGCAGGAAAAATTTCTCTAATAGTAGTCGTTGTTTGATCTGTGTTTGGCTGTGATACTGCTCGGGTGCCCAAATCAAAGGAGGTGGTTTTCTTAGGGGGCCACTCCCTGAGCCTTTGACCTAAAGGTCTGATCCACTAGACAATGGTGCAACGTCAGGAGATGCAGTCCCATGGTGGCCGGTGACCAACGATTGGTTCATACGCCATTTGTTCCCATAGGATCCTGGAATCCATGTGTGCCATTGGTTTGGAAACAGGGTTTTCGAAACTGCCCTAGGTGTGGAGCTTCCATATCCACTAACCCGGTTAAAGCGCCGGACTTGTGTGGTGCATATGTATTTGGTATCCCTTTGTACCACTATTTATGTGTTTAAATAAATAAGTATCCAGTGTTACCGACTGAAACTTTATCATTTAGTTGTTCAAATCGTGAATCACGCATTAAACAGATATTTTTCCATACATTAGTCAATGAGTAGCAATCAATGGTGATGTCATGTTTTTTTTAATTCATACTCTTGATTAAATTCTATTGATAAATATGCAACATGGTCACCAGTCCTTTTTTATAAACCCAATTTATGTCTGTTTATTTTCTCTTTTCATAGATAACTAATGTTGTTCAATCACGAGGTGGTGGATTTAGCCAATCTGATGTTCGTATCACTTTAGAATCCATGCATAAAGATAATCGTATTATGCTTGCCGGCGACGATGTTTGGCTTATATAGTCTTTTTTTGCTTCAAATAAAACCATATTTCTCACTAGCATTTTCACACACACTCCCTCTTCAGATAATGATTATTGGTGTTATTTCCTAAGTATCGTCTGCTCATTTTGATTATTCGTACAGATTTCTTATATTGAATACGTTTCTATCATTACTATTACACTGATTGTTATTATTTTTATATTGGAAATCTATAAATACATGTTCTAAGTGTGTGTGTGCTGATACTTTTCATGTCAGCTGAAAGAAGTGATGTTATTTAGCACAGGACCATGAAAGCTTTCTGTTAGTAAATCTATTTAAATAATCTATAGCGTTCAACACATGAACTTAGCTCTTTTAAACTCCTTGTTGGATAATTGAAATAATGATCGTATTCCCTAAGTCAGCCGGTCATATACAAAGTAGAACCTTGAACGTGTACATCAGTTCAATTCGTTACCTCAAATCAACAAAGTGGAATGGAGTCAGCAACACAAATGTCAGAATATTAGAAGTAGTAACAGTATGAATGGTATTAGAAAATATTAGGCACAAACAGTATGATTCAAGAAGAATAGATTCATTGAATAAAAAGTTTGAAATAATAAAAAAAAATCTATGAGAAGACGAAAAGTAAGTAGATCCATGTCCAAGCCAATTCGTGACAATTTTTTCATGTTGACTTAATGGTTTACTTTCAACTAATAATAGACTATGGGTTCGAACATCATTCTACTTAATTTGAATTGAGTAGTTGGGTAGTAATGTAATGAACAAGAACTCAGGCGGAAATATATATTCTATTGTCTAATAAAAATTACAGAATATCTTGATAAAATATAGGAACCATACATTGAATACTTGATTTGCGAATTTCCATTATTTGTCCTTCACATTTTATGTAACTTTCAATTCACTATTCCTTTTTATTCTCTTCAATTCGATCTTAGCATTCTGCTACCATGTTTTCAGCTTCCGATTGGTATTACTTTGTACTTATATCGACAGATATAAGTAGCATACACCACAGTAATACTAAGTGTAACTCAAAGTTGAATATCTACTCCTATGTTGAGCAGAGTAGGCATTGGTAGATATGTACAATATTATTCCATTGGTGATTGCGCATTGAAGTTTTGACTGTTTCTTATTGATTCGTTTTCTAATGTTTAAGTGGTGTTTTCGCTCTTGAGAGCTATAATATTTTAAGATTAATTTAATATACTCAATTAAATATTCTGCCATTTCACGATTATATACCATTCTGAACCTTTCGGATGTATCTACTTACATTTAAGTAATCTCAATTTTAAAAAGTCACACGTTTAGGGATTCGAGTATGATAAACACTTAGTCAATGCTAATACTGCATAGTGCTTACTCATATTGAAAGCAGTGACAAGATGTTTAGTTGCTACGATTTCAGACTTAACAAAATTCATTAAACCATTTCAGTTACAATATCATAATTACTACTCAGAATTTTGGTCTTGGGATTTATAACACAACTGTAAAACATATTAACGAATTTTTACATCAGTCAAATAGTAGCCAGTAGTGAGATACAAGATGTGTTTTGTTCTATTTGGGACTCATCATCCTAATGTTTACACTGAGACTCAAACCCAGTACTTTTTCATTTTAAACGCCAACGCATCATCTACTGAGTTCAAATCGCCACTAGGCTGCACAATGCGTATGAATTATATTTTCTTTTCTCGCTGTTAATGTTAAGGATCAATTGATCGACCTCATGTTTGTATCCTGAGCGGATTGACACTTAAAATAGTCTATTAACTTCGAATAACGGGAAAATACAAGTCCCTAAAATTGTGTCCAGGACTGTCTTATTATCTTAAGTTATTTGCTATTTGAATATAACTACTCAGCCTTGAAATGTAGTCAAATTTCCTACTGATCATTAGACCTTAGTGATAATTATTGTTTTAATACTATGTATTGTGTTACAATAAGTAGTTATCCGCTTTTATTACGCAACATTCAAATTGTAATTATCTCCTACTACTTTTTTATAATCACCATCTGTTAGATATATGAATAGCAAAATAAACCTATCTTCGAATTCTAGACAAAGAACATTCCAATAACTTCGATGTTTTTGTCCAATGTTTCCAGCGTTTTGCATTGGTATGCAGTTGTTAGCCTCATAAGAGTACGTGTAGTTAACTTTCATAGTTATTAGCTTCAAACAAAACTTAAATGTGAAGGTTTATTGGGATATTTACTCTGTTGCAAAATAGATGGTAAAAAATTCCGAGTAGACCACTTTATCAAGGTATTGATTATATAGTCATTGTTGCTGATAAATACAACAGTGGTTAATACCCTATGATTGATCAGTTTGAATATCTGAGTTCTACATGAGCTCATTCTCACTCTGGATCGCTCAGTGATAACAATTGTGATACAAGTTCTAATCTCACAGAAAGCATTACTTCCTTGATGATTTTAGATAAAACTTTTGACTAAGAGTCAACTAGCGACAAACCTAGGCCAAGCAGAAATACATGCCTATTGCCTTCAACCACTAACTTGCGCCCCAAAGTTATAAGTATTAAGATGTTATGTACATCATTTTCTACCTCGTACATCCTATTTAAACCATTACATACTTATGAAAGTATATCCTAGGCGAAAAATCAAGATTAAGATCTGTACTATTCTATTGCTGAAGCCGAACATACTCCTAGTAGTAGACTCGTGTTTAGTATTTTGCTAGTAATACTCTTGTATCTATCAATATTTTGGTAAATTCGATGGTCTATTTACAGATGGGTAACGAATTGATATTTCATTTATATATCATAGGAAACTACGCAAATGATTACAAGAAAAACCAAATTTTAAATTGTTTTAGCATCAAGAAAATTGAATAGCTTATTTAAAGTATATATTCATTTGAATAGGTTAATAGTATAAATAATTTCTACAAGAAAAATGTGTTTACATGAACATCTATTATGATTATAAGCAGCGACCGATGGTGGTTAATATGGGATTCAAAATGCATGTTTCGTCCTGTTCGAGACTCATCACCCGCATTCCATAGTTAATATTCACTTCGGGACTCAAGGTTATTTTCTTTCGCTTCAAACGCCATCGCGTCACCCACTTAACTACTGAGTCCAGACTTCTGATCTGTGGAGAGATATCAATATCGTATTTATATATCCTTTAATACTTATCCATTTTTATCGGCAAGGTGGTCTCTGGTCTAACCATGAATACTACAGGACTATATTTGGTAGTTGTTAGTCTTTAACAATCAGTAAGCCGTGATTTTTACGACTTATCTCCAAATGAATATAATCGCTTAATATTTATATACGTGTCAATTGTGGAATGTAATAATCATCAGTTATTCTAGCCTGACAAGTATGATCAGAACTAAACACGTTGAACTTTGCTTACCATCTCACATAACTAGTATTTAACAAAAAAAATTTCATATGCATACGGTCGTACAGCTTGATAATAAATTCGTCTAAAAGAGATCCCTTCGCTGAACTTCTTGCTTTTAATGTTTAAAATATATGTATTTATTAAACGGATATTAAATCGAATCATTGATGGATGAATATGAAATCAGGTGGTTACTTTTTTTAAAATGTTTTGTTACTACTGGCTTATTTATATAGTAGTTTATTTCAAAACAAAAATTATACAGTCGAGAAATGAAAAGAAACATCTACATATTTTTAATATAGGGGGATTTGTGAAGATTATTGAGTTTTCTATGGTTTAAGTCATGAACCTGGAGCACCGGATAACTTCTTTGTCTAGGTATTTGATTCCTCAACAGTGCTCATCTACGAGTCCTGACGTAGAAGTCGAACCCAGAATCTTTGGTCTCATTCTTGAACGCTTATCGTTTAGGCTATTAAACGGGAACCTAACGAATTTAGTGTCCAAATTTAACCAATTCACAATGCTGTGTCCATCTTCTGTTGTCTTTGGTGGACAGCATTTCACTGCTAAGGAGCCCCCTACTATGATGAGACGGCGATCCGATCTTTCAAAAATTTTGTGATTGTCTAGCTAAGCTCATTTCCTGATTTACATTATGGAAGATTTAAATATCTAACATTAAAGTGTTATTAAACCGCTAATTCAAATATTGTTATTGATAAACACTTGACAAATATATTGTTAAGGTGGAAAAATTCTCTATGCCATATGTTTCTACAATTATTTTGTAGTCATAGTAACAAGTAATTGATTCCACTTTCCTATTGTGTTTTAAATATTAACTCTATTATTTTCATTATATGAAATTTACCTTTTTATTAAGTATATTATATAGCATGAATTGGAGACCGTAGGCCTTTTTATTTTTTAAAAAAAGGTGTGATTTTTCATTTGAAATGAAATAAACTTTACTATTCTATTGTTTGTTTCCAACCGTTTTCTTTTTTTATGTGATATATTTGTAACTATGGAGTAAATTATGCAATAATCATAATAAAGTGTCAATAAATTTCATTGTTTAAATGTGAATAATATGGGTGAATTAATTTTTAATTATAAATTAATAGAACGATACTTTGATCATTTATAACTATTGTTATTAGTATTAATATATGATTATTTAATTCCCATTAGAGGTCATCAGATTTATTGTGTTATATTGATCATATTTCTTTTTTTGAGTCAATTTATACATTCATTCGTCTTAGAGATTGATAGATACATATAACATTATTGCCCCCCCTTATATTTTAATCTTTCTTTTTTAAAAAAAAGAAAAGAAAAGATGAATGTATGTAGTCAGGGAAGATACAGAAATTAATAATCTGTTTATTGACCTAATTACACAGGAATTTATTACTTAGAATTATAAAATAAAACAACAAGAAAGAAAAAAACATGCATTAAATTTATTGAAAGATGAGAAAGAGGAAAAAAAGAACAGAAAAGAACTAATTACACAGAAAGAAAAATCTAAATATTAATATTCATTAATGATATTATTAAGCAAAGATGGATAGTGGCTAGTA